AGCTCCCCTGGGGTCTACCTGTCAAGCTTGCCAGAGGGTCCATGTGGACCAGTTGGCACCCTCTTTTCTGCCCTTGCCGGACTGGGATGGCAAAGGAGTTTTATTTCCCATGCCTTTCTGTGTGATGACCGGCAGCGTGCCCAGTCTGTCCCTCCACCCCCCTACGTCCTCTCTCCCTGGCTGCTGCTGCTTTGCATTTGGCCTGTTCTCAGCTCTGTGATCCTCTCCTGATATACAAGTACCGTCACATACCACATATGTGAGACCTCATCCCTACAATAAATCAAAAAAATTAGCCGGGTGTGGTAGCGCACGCCTGTAGTTCCAGCTACTCGGAAGGCCGAGCCGGAAGGATCGCCGGAGCCCAGCAGGTCGAGGCTGCGGTGGCCGGGAGCGGCCACTGCACTCCAGTCTGGGTGACAGAGTGAGACTCCAACTCAAGAAAAAAAAAAAAATGGCTCAGATGGTTTTTAAAAAATCTATGACATTGGTTTTTCTAAGTTATTTTATTTTGTTTTTCATAGTTTGTAAAGTTAGTCTGATAAACTTAAAAATAGCAGGAAGGATTTTTAGACAATATTTAAATTTTTGGATACTAACATATTACATTTTTTCCTGTTCTATTAAAGGATATTGCCCTAAAAACAAGAGAAATCTACACCAACCTAGCACTGTTTTCAGAAGTTTCAGATGATGGAGAAAAGCGTGTCCTTAATTTGGAGGCACTAAAGCAAAAACGATTTCCACCAGCAACAGAAAACTTCCTGTATCATCTAGCAGCAGCTGAACAAATGCTGAAAATCTGACTGTGTGACAGAATGTGTCCCCCATGAATGATTGCTAGAAAGCCTTCTTTCACTCTGATTATCCATTAACTATGTAAAATACTGAAAACAACAAGAGAAAATGTTATATTTTTAATGATTTATTTGAAAGGATTGAGATTTGACCTGAAAAACACTGAAACACATGAAAACACTTCTGTTTTTCTCCTAGCTGATTAGTTTCCTGTCTGCTGTCAGTGTTGGACAAAGTGCTGTAACTACTATGTATAACGTTATAAAATGGCCTGATGTCCTGGAGTAAAGGGAAAAAAAGCTCTATCAAGTTCTCATGCAAATCATGACAAATGCAAAAGCCTTCATTATAAGTTCCAGTTTGTCTCATTATGTAGCCAGAAACTAGTGTGTTTTCTTTTTCTTTTTTTTGGAAAGCTGCCTGGAATTTTGCTTTGTATTCTTCTAGGAAGAATTTAATTCCTCCTGAGGAATTCTACTTTCTGAGCCAAACTACTAAGTTTTCTGCCCAACTGTGTAGAAGAGCATTCAAAAGACCCTGCAGTTGCACTTTCTTGCAAAAGAAAAAAAATGTTTTTTCCCAGTCTTTGAACATTTTGCCTGTGAGGACTTTACATAGATTTTATACTTGAGTTGACAACTTTAATAATCCATATTTATACTGTCGCAGAAGTAAGCATTTGGCAAATTTAAAGCTATTAGTACTCCTCAACACTGTTGCTAGCATTATTCTTTTGAAGATGCCAGTATTTTTATGGTAGAGTAAAATCAGAGGCCCATTTTGAATATAAATGTAGGACTGAGACAGAGACTTTATATAATTGCTAAGGAGTATGAGAATTAACTTCTTACAGGGGCCAAAACCAGAGAAATGTCTTTTTTTTTTTTTTTTTTTTTGAGTTGGAGTCTCACTCTGTCGCTTAGGCTGGAGTACAGCGGCACACTCATGGCCACCGCAGCCTCAACCTGTTGGACTCAGGCGATCCTTCCATCTCAGCCCTCCAAGTAGCTGGAACCACAGGCATGTGCTATCATGCCTGGCTAATTTTTTTGATTTATTGTAGCAATAAGGTCTTGCCAAGTTGCCCAGACTGGTCTTGAACCCCTGAGCTCAGGCAATCCTCCTGCCTTGACCTCCCAAAGCATTGGGATTATAGGCGTGAGCCATCGCACCCCGCTCAGAGAATGTCTTCAGCTTCTGTAAGAGTCATTTGGTCACATATCAAGGTAACTGCTCTTATTCATTTGTGTACCTTTTGCATAACTGGAGACCTTAAAATTGCTAACTAAGCATAGAGATCTAAAGTATGTACTCCTTTATTATGTGCATTCATAATAATTATAAATATTATTTTTCAGTACTGATGTCGTTAGAAATCTTACTTGGAAACATGTTTGCAAAAACTTTGTTTTTTAATGGATCTTTAATTTTTTTTCTTGGTATTAGATATTTGTTAAGCAAAATTTTAAAATAGCCTTCCCCCCACGCCTTGGGTGGGGACAGTGGAGGACCTGAAATGAGATGATGTTTACTAAGGCAAACAATTGAAAATTAAACCTGCACTTTATGGAAATGGATACTAACATTTTTCTTCCTCATTTTTTTGTATTACTATATTAGCTAATGATCAAAGTTGTTAAAATTACAAATTTACAGAAATAAAATGGAAATATTTTGATACTGAACACTGAGGTAGGTGAATAATTGTCCCTTTTTCCTAACTCTCCTCATTCCAAACAAAAGCAAAGCTTTTTTTCAACTGTGAAGCACTGGGGAATTATGAAAAGATCTATTTGACAGTTACAGCTATCCCTCACCACACCTGCCCTGGCCTTCCTCTGTCCCCCAACCTGGAGCTGCCTCTGCAACTTGTTTCCTCTCCTCAGAAGATGCCTTCCCATTTCTTCTCCACTGTTAGTGACTGAACCTCTACCTTTGCCCATCTTGTTCTCTAACTTTGTGTTTAGTGTAAGCCTGTGGCTAAACTGAGCCATCTGATTGTAAAGGATTGATTTTGTCCTTTTAGGCTGTTGTGAAACTTTTCTTACCAAATTTGGAAATAACCATCATTCTGGCCTAGGGAAAACTAAAGGCCACAGATACACCAGGGACCCCTCAAAAGCAGTAATTTATAAAAAATTGTGTATTCTTTCGTGTCTAAACTTCAGTCACCTTCAAAGTACTCACCTATTGAGATGCTTTTTCCACTGCTCAAAACGGTTTTTAAACTCAACAGTTTTGATGCCTTATAGTGCTTCTGTTGTTTTTTGTTTACCTCTTCCACATTGGGAAAACATTTCCCTTTGAGGACTGTTTTCATTGGGGGAAAAAGAATAGTTTGGGGTGAGATCGAGTGACTTGGGAGAGGGGCTCAGGGGTCGTGCTGGTTTTGAACACTCAGCCAGCATGGTGTGGGCAGGTGGGCTTGTAAATCACCCATCATGAAATGGTCAAATGCATTCAAAGAATCTCCAAAAAAAAATTCACCAAAGCTAAGTACAGCCCCTCAGAGCAACCTTAGCTGGTATGCGGATGCCGATGGTTTCCTAGAACACTTACCTAGCGTAGGAACCTGTACTACGAGGGGCCCACGCTCCAAAAGATAATCAATTTGGGGGGGGGTTACCCCCCCATCTTCCTGTTGACTTGCAACAGCGTGTTGGAAACATCCCTCTGGTACACAAATGTTTGGATACCTCCTCTGTCACATCCTGTGTTGGGTTACTCTGATGGGCAAAAAAGTCCCTGTTGTCTAGGCGTATACATTCTCCTGCAGGAATAGGATCAGCAAGTAAGCAGCTGTACTGCCGTGTGGCTAGCACTAGACCCGCCCATATCAGGATACCCAATTCAGTACTGTGACTCCCGGAAGGCCTCCTGGAGGGAGTGATCAATGTCAAAGTCAGACCTGAAGCATAAGCAGACACCTGCCCAGAGCAGAGCAAACGCCTGTGCCAAGGCCATGAGAAGGACATAACCCGTGTGAGGAGCTGGATATTGGTCCAGAATGAGGGAAGTGAATGGTAAGAAGTGAATAAGTGAAAGGCTCATGGCTGCCATATGGACTTGATCTTGACACACTGGGAGCTATTCAAGACTTTTCAGCAGATGTGCTTTAGAAGAGCATGCTGGAACAGAGACTGCAGGGAGCTAGACAGATGAACCAGGCAATACCAGCAGGGGATGCTGTTGGAGAGCGCTGGGGCCGTGGGCACGAGGAGTTCTAGAGGAGTTCTAGAGATCGGACTATGTTGGGCCTAGCCTGTTGAGTGGGGAGGGGGTGCCACCAGCGAGCCTGTCTGACACAGTGGCGTGGGTGGTGGTATCACTTCCTGATTAGGAGGCTGACTGATCTCAGGTTTGCACAGGTTGGGTTCGAGTATCTGCAGGACATTCAAATGGCAAAGTCAGCAGAGCGGGCAGTTCGGTGACTGGCATGAGTGCCCAGCAGTGTGGCAGCACAGTGTTTGGGTAGGGCACAGATGAGAGAAGTCTTAGCAGAATAGAGAGTGGGGCAGAGACAGTGAAGGCAGACAACTCTTTTAAGAAGTCTGGCAGCCGGGCTCGGTGGCTCAGCCTGTAATCCCGCGCCTTTGGGAGGCGGAGGTGAGTGGATTGCCTGAGCCCGCGGGTTCGAGACCCGCCTGGGCAGCGAGACCTCATCTCTACAATAAATCAAAAAATCAGCCGGGCGTGGTAGTGCATGCCTGTAATTCTGGCTACTGGGAAGGCTGAGGCGGAAGGATCGCCAGAGCCCAGCAGGTCGAGACTGCGGTGGCCGGGAGCAGCCACTGCACTCCAGTCTGGGTGACAGAGTGAGACTCCAACTCAAAAAAAAAGAAGAAGTCTGGCTATAGCCAAGTGTGGTGGTGTGTGCACTGGTAGTCCCAGCTCCTCAGGAGGCTGAGGTTGGAGGATGACTTGAGCCTAGAAGATCAAGACTGCAGAGAGCTATGATCATGCCACTGCCTTCCAGCCTAGGCAACAGAGCAAGACTCTCACCTCAGATGAGGCAGGGGATGTAAGCAGGTTACATACTGCTGTACAGGAGCCGGCAGAAGGGCTGGAACCAGAGGGGATGGCACAGAGCAGGTCCCTGAGGAAACCAAGAGAAGGGCCGTAGAGCCTGAGGCCAGCTGGCCTTGCATGGAGGACAGGATGGGTGTGAGCAGAGGAAGGTTTGCTGACGTGGTGCCAACATCCTTGGTTTTCCCAGCGAAGGTGGAGGCAAGGTCTTTTGCCAAAGAGGAGAAAGGAGGCACAGGGCAGAGGATGGCAAAGGCTTAAGAAGCTGCCCATAATTGAGTACGTGTGGGTAGGAAAACAGTATTTTTTGGGGCTGGAGACCTTAAATGGCTCCCCCAGGGTTTGTGTTCAGCTGGAGTTGAACCATCAATTTATTGCCTGTGTCCTGAGCGTGGTTGATCTTTTGCATTTATTTATCCAAAAACTCAACTTGAGACAAGTAGATTTATGATTTCACGGCCACCTTTCACAGGCTGTTCCTCACTCCACCTGTCCCTCGGCAACTCTGTGGGATTAAGATAGGACACTGTCCTGCTGTCTTCTCCGGCCAGCCTTCAAGACCCCAGACACGCCAGTCTCAGCATGTGCAATCTAAGTCATCTTGTCAGCACAGACACTTCTGGCCTCCCCAGGAGACCCCTGGCAGAGTTCTCTAAATGGAAACCTTGACAGGGTAGGGTTTGCAAGCCAGAACCTGACAAATTCACCTGAAACTCGCCCCTATACCCCTCTGTTATAAAAGAGTTCTGCTTCTTCTGTTGCAGACCGAATTTCCTCTTCAAGCTTCCTGCACCGTATCTGAAAAACAGTGATATTCTTAATATTTATATTAATACTGTTTCTTGCCTTAGAAGTTAAAAAAGAAATCATTTTCTGAAAGCAACGCTTTCACAGCCCAGCTTTTTTCAATGATATTTAATCTATAGAAAAAAACATAATCTAAATTTTTCTTTTTTGAGTCTGTGTCTCACTCTGAAAGCCCAGGCTGGAGCGCGGTGGCATGCTCATGGCCACTGTTGCCTCGACCTGCTGGGCTCAGGCAATCCTTCTGCCTCAGCCTTCCAAGTAGCTGGAACCACAAGCACACGCCACCATGCCCAGCTAATTTTTTGATTTACTGTAGAAATGAGGTCTCACCAAGTTGCCCAGGCTGGTCTCAAACCCCTGGGCTCAGGTAATCCTCTCACCTTGGCCTCCCAAAGTGCTGGGATTATAGGCATGAGCCACCATGCCCAGCTCCTAACTTCTTAAAAACTTTTTTTTTTTTTTTTTTTTTTTTGAGTTGGAGTCTCACTCAGTCGCCCAGACTGGAGTGCAGTGGCCACTTCCGGCCCCCGCCGCCTCGACCTGCTGGGCTCCGGTGATCCTTCCGCCTCAGCCTTCTGAGTAGCCGGGATTACAGGCGTGCGCTGCCACGCCCGGCTGCTTAAAAACTTTTTAATGGTGAATTTCAAGTCAGGCTAAGTGAAAAATTTTAAAAAGGAAAAAAGGAACACAACTTCTTCATGGAAAATTGCTATTATAAACAAATGTAGAAAGAATGTAATGAGCGCTTATGCACTTTATCACTCTGCGATTACTATCAGCAGTCCACTGACTTTAATTCATCAAGCATCTTCCATATCCAGTAGTGGGGGATTTTTTCTTGAGTATTCTGAGGCAATTCCCCAGTGTGTCATTTCACCTACAAATACTTCAATGTGAAATTCCAAATGATAAAGACTTTGCCATCACTTATATAGTAGTGATGGTAGTTATGTAACTACCATGCCATTACACACTTACCAAAATTAATACCAATCCTCTAGTAACATCTACCACCCACCCACACTTCTGGTCTAGCCAGGCCGTAGACATACCAGCTGACGCTGGTGGGCAGAGGAGCTGTGGAAGGGATGGCTCCCTTGCCCAGGTCCTCCAGGTTCCACACCTGAAAGGCGCCACAGCCCATGGTATGTCTGAAGAGATGCTCCAGGTGGTAGTCTTGGCTCTGCAAGTGAACTTGGTCACCCCGGGCAGGAACGGGAGGAGGGGCCCCCACTAGCCCAGCTCCACCACTCAGGGACCTCCAAGCCCAACTTGGACCAGGGTATTTTCAAGGTCCAGCAAGTTTTGGCATTTGGGGTCATGCGGGGAGTAGCTTCATTTCCTGCCTCCACTGTGGCGTCTGGGAGGTCCTTCCTCTTCAAGCCTTCAATGACTCACACACTCTCTACCTCCTCGACCAGGCAGTGCAGGTCCTGCCGTCTGGCATGCAGCCCTGTGTGTCCATTCACCCCTCCTGCACCCTAGAATGGGAAGGCCCTCTTCCTTCTCCCATCTCTGCTTGTTCAAATTCATCCATTTCCAAAGGCCATCCCCTCCATGAAGCTGGCAATTCTTTTTTCCCCTCTAATCTCCTCACAGCATTTTAGTCATTTTACTATCATATGACAGTTGTCTCTACACATGACATATTACACTTATCCTAAAACCCTGTGGTAGAAACTGCCACCTCTCCCTCCCCCCATATCTGTTTCTCTTCCCCAGCAGCAAAATTTTAAAAAGATCCAGAATAAAGATCCCATTTCCCAGCCTCCTTTGCAGTAAGGCTTGGCTGAAGGACTAGGTTCCGGTCAACGTGATGGAAGCAGAAGTGTGCATGGCAGTGTGGAACCACAGTGGCACCATCTCGGGCCTTGAGGACAAAGGTCAACCCTAGGGATGGTGGCATGCTGAGATGGAAGGAGTCGGGTCTCTGAGGACTTGATGACATGCAGCCACCTCACCTGGACTGGCCACCGCACACTTTCTGTGAGTGAGAAATAAGCTTCTGGCCAGGCTCGGTGGCTCAGCCTGTAATCCCAGCACTTTGGGAGGCCGAGGCGAGTGGACTGCCTGAGCCCGCAGGTTCAAGACCCGCCTGGGCAACTTGGCGAGACATTGTCTCTACAATGAATCAAAAATTAGCCAGGCATGGTAGCCCATGCCTGTAGTTCCTGCTACTTGGAAGGCTGAGGCGGAAGGATCGCCGGAGCCCAGCAGGTCAAGGCTGCGGTGGCCGGGAGCGGCCACTGCACTCCAGTCTGGGCGACTGAGTGAGACTCCGACTCAAAAAAAAAGAGAAATAAGCTTCTACCTGGTTCAAGGCACTATTACTTTAGATCTCAGTTCCACAAGTCTACGAGGGAGGACCCCAAAAATCCGGAATTTATTTATAAAAATTTGTGTATTTACTCTTACATGTTTAAACTTCAGTCACCTTCAAAGTACTCTCCATTTGGTGAAATACAGTTACTGAGATGCTTTTTCCACTGCTCAAAACAGTTTCTGAATCTGTCCATTTTGATGCGTCTAGTGCTTCTGCTAATTGTTGTTTCACCTCTTCCACATCAGTCAAATGTTTCCCTTTGAGGACTTTTTCCACTCAGGGTAACAAGAAAAAAGTCACTCAAGGCGAGGTTGGGTAAAAAGGGAGGGTGGGGCATGGGGGTTACGCTGTTCTGGCCCCAAACTGCTGAGCACTCAGTGTAGGGTGGGCAGGTGTGCTCATAAAGCCCCCCTTCTGAAATGGGCAAACGCCTTGAAAGAATCTGAAAATAAAATTCAGTGATGCCGTACACAGCCTTTCACAACAGTGCTACTCATAGGCTGAGGCCAATAGGTTCCTAGAATGCTCACCTAATGGGGGAAGCCTGTATAAGGCGCCTGCCCGCCAAAAAAAAATTCCTTTGGGGGGTCCCCCCTCAGACATGTAATCCCGGGATCCCTTTCACTGCCTGTGCCCTCCTACTCTAAGTACTCATGAGTTCTGACTCGTCCAGTTCACGTACTTCCCTCTCATCCACCACATGCACTTGGTCCACACCCCCATCCTCTCTGGCCTGAACACCATCCACAGCCTCCCAGCTGCTGGCCTTCTTCATCCGCCACTTAGGACCCAGAGTGATCTTTCCAAAATACAAGCCGAGCCAGCCAGTCCCCTCCTGACGCATTTCCCTCACCACCTGTAAAGTCCTGTCGCCTCACAGAGCTTGTGAGGCCTTCATCACCGAGCCAGGGCCACAGCCGAGCCCAGGTTTCACAGCCTGCCACTCCACAGCTGAATAAACCATGGGGAATGACGTCTGTCCCGAGCCTCAGCTTCTTCATCCATAAAATGGGAATCACAAAACTTACTTTGAAGAGCTGCTTTGGAGACAAGAGACTAGTGGGCACAGTCCCTGGGACACAGAAGGTGCTGAATAAACAATCCGCTCCTGTTGGAAGTGGGAGCACCCTGCAGCTTCCTGTCTCCCACGCTCCAGCCACATGGAGCCACTCGGAGTGTCCCTGGTGGGCCATGCCAGAGCACACCTCCATGCCCTCCTACAGCCTGTTCCCAGTGCCCTCGATTCCCCAAGCAGTGCTGACCCCTGCCGGTGGTGCCACAATGCCCGGTGCGAGTCTCTCTTACACTGCAACCCTGCTGCAGCTGCAGTCACTTCTAAATGCAGACGTCTCTCTCCCTCCCGGGCCTGGAGGACCAAGCTCAGCTCCTGCAGCCCCGTAACTTTCCGCTTGATGGCCTCTGGACTCCAGAAACCAGCAAGTGGCATGAGCCTTCAGTGGGGACCAGCAGTGGTGGTGGTAGTGAAAGGAGGGGAGGGAACTGCCTCTCGTCCTGACCACTGGCCGGATGTCCCAGGCCCACCCTTTTCAGAAGAGGAGAAAGACTGCACTGAAGGCCAGGAGCGGTGGCTCACACCTGTCATCCCAGCACTTTGGGAGGCCGAGGTGCGAGGACTGCCTGAGCCCAGGGATTCTAGACCAGTCTGGGCAACTTGGCGAGGCTGCAGTGGCTGTGAGCATGCCACTGCGCTCTAGCCTGAGTGAGAATCCCACTCAAAAAAAAAAAAAGGCACTGAGCAGGACACAGAGGCTCAAGCCAGTAGTCCAAGCTACTCAGGAGGCTGGAGGACTGCTTGATACCAGCTGTTAAAAACCAGTCTAAGCAACACAGAGACCCTGCCATGGAGGCGGGGGAGAGAATTAAAATTTAGTCAGGCATAATGGCTTATACCTGTAATCTCAGTACTTTGGGAGGCTGGGGTGTGAGAGGATTGCTTAAGCCAGGAGTTCCAGACCAGCCTGGGCAACATAGCAAGAACAAGTCTCTGCAAAAACTAAAATATTAGTATGATGGTTCACATCTGTAGCCCCAGCCACTAGAGAGGCCGAGGCAGGAGGATCGCTTGAGCCCAGGAGTTTGAGGCTGCAGTAAGCTATGATCATGCCATTGCATTCTAGCCTGAGAGAGCAAGACCCTTTCTCTTAAAAAAACAACAACAATTGATTTTAAAAAAGAAAGAATTGTGCCACAGGAAGGTCAAACTGATGACATGAAGAAAGGATCCAAGTTACTTCTGATACTGGAAAAATGAATCCTGCTACCAGAGATGACTCAACTCCCTAAAGACAAAACTGGAATGCTGGGTGCAGTGGCTGACGCCTGTAATCCCAGCACTTTGGGAGGCCGAGGCGAGAGGATTGCCTGAGCCCAGAGGTTTGAGACCAGTCTGGGCAACTTGGCAAGAACTCATCTCTACAATAAATCAAAAAATTAGCTGGGCGTGGTGGCACACGCCTGTAGTTTCCCACTTGGAAGGTTGAGGCAGAAAGATTATCTGAGCCCAGCAGGTTGAAGCTGTAGTAGCCGTGAGAGTGCCACTGCACATTCCAGCCTGGGTGACAGAGTGACTCCAACGCAGGGAAAAAAAAAAGGCAAAACTGGAAAGAGAGCCACAGTCATGCATCGGACAAACAGCACTAATTCCAGATTCTGGCTCCCCTGTGCCAGAGGAGGGACTGCACAAAGATGCCTTCCTTGGATCTCCTGAAACCCTCCCTGTTCTGCTCCCTGAGTCAGGGTCCTGGGACTCTGCTGCTCCCATTGACCAAAGCTCTTGGTGGCCAATAGTCACAGGTTCTTTCACAGCTGCTCTATTGACTACAAGCGTGAAGGCAGGGACCATGTTGACTCCCTCGCCATTATATCCCAGCACCTAGCACTGGGTCTGCCCAGATAGGTCCTCAGTGTTTGCGGAGAGCGCGGGTAGAGAGAGCGGGAGGAGACCAGAACATCATGGCTGGAAATCCCACCAGGTCAAAGGCTCCCTGTCAACAGGCTAACCTGCAGATAGGCCATCTGCTTCACTCTCCGTGGAGTGTTGATACAATCAGAAGTAACTAGTGCAAGGGATTCATTTGTGTTACAATTTTGTTATAACAAAAAGTGTTCAAATAGGTGGGCGCATGCCTGTAGTCCTGGCTACAAGGGAGACTGAAGTGGGAGAATCACTTGAGCCAAGGAATTCAAGACCAGTCTGGGCAACACAGCCAGACTCCATCTTCACAACAAAATAAAAAAAAAAAGGCTAGGCATGGTGCCCACCTGTAGTCCTAGATACTCAGAAGGCTGAGGAGGGAGGATTGCCTGAGCCCAGGAGGTTGAGACTGCGGTGAGCTGTGACTATGCCAGTTCACTCCAGCCTGGGTGACAGAGTGAGATCCCAACTCAAAAACAAACAAGCAAGCAACTACCCCACCCCTCAAAAAAAACCCAAATAAGTGGGCCTGGGAGGATCAAAAGTATTTTTTCCTACTAAAATTTTATTTTAACATGATGTGCCCCCCCTCCCCAGTAGCATAGCAAGCATAGCTATCTAAAATAATTTAAAACTTCTAAGTGATATGCTGGCAAAGTTGTCTGAATTAATGATACTATAAACTCAAACCTATAAGATCTGGGTTCTGAACAAGATCATTCCATAAGCATAAATGCTTTTGAGGATATAATTAACGTTAACTTAGAAATTTCAAGCACTTGAAATTTTCAGCCAAGAAATTGCTAGTATCTACTAGCATCAATAATGTCCTTGACATCTGCCAGAAATTTATGGCAGAGCTTTAGGAAAAAAAACAAACTGGCTTTCTGACTCAAAAAACAATGATAATGTCCTTGTACCTACTGAGCAACAACCCTTTACAGAGGAGATACTATTATCTTTGACTCTCTTCAACAGATAAGGAAATTGTGCAAGTTGACCAAGGTCATAGAGAAGTTGGAATTTGAATCCAGACAGTATGACTCATCAAAATGACAATATATTAGAAATTCTCTATAGAACTGAACTGTCCAATACAATAGCCACTAGCCACATGTACGTACTTAAGTTAAAATTTAATTTAAAATTCAGGGCTGGGTGCAGTGGGTTCATGCTTGTAATCCCAGCACTTTGGGAGGCCAAGACAAGAGGATTGCCTGAGCCCAGAGGTTCAAGACCAGCCTGAGCAACATGGCAAGACCTCGTCTCTACAATGAATCAAAAAATCAGCCAGGTGTGGCGGTACGTGCCTATAGTTCTAGCTACTTTGCGGAAGACTGAGGTGGAAGGATTGCCTGAGCCCAGCAGGTTGAGGCTATGGTAACCATGATCATGCCACAGCATTCCAGCCTGGGCAACAGAGAGGGACTCCAACTCAAAAAAAAAAAAAAAATTCAGTTCCTCTGAAAAAATTCATAGCCTCTTCACTAGACTCATTTCAAGTGCTCGGTAGCCTCATGCGGCTGGTGGCTACTATATCAGACAGCAGAGAGATAGAACATATCCATCTTTGCAGAAAGTTCCCTTGGACAGATGTCATTACAGAATATTATAAAGTATTTAAATTTTCTTAAATAAAGTTTTTTTTTTAATGCCTCAGAAAAATGCTATGAAATACTGTTAAGGAAAACAGGATCCATTGACTCAATCTACCATTTCATAGAAATGAAATAAGATGATAAAAAAAAAAACAACAAGATCCAAAACTGCAAGAGAGTAGAGAACAGAATTAAGTGCAAATACTGTTACAGCTGACCCTTGAACAATACGAGTGTGAACTGCCTGGGACAACGTACATGTGGGTTTTCTTCTGCCTCTGCCACCCCTGAGACAGCACGACCAACCTCTCTTCCTCCTATTCCGTTTACCCAACTTGTGAAGATGACAAGGATGTAGACCTTTATGACAATCTACTTCCACTTACTGAATAGTAAAGATATTTTCTCTTATGATTTTATTTTCCTTTTTCAAATACATAGAGAGAGAGAGACAAGGTCTTGCTATGTTGTCTAGGCTGGTTTTGAACTCCTGGGCTCAAGCAATCCTCCCAAAGTGCTGGGATTATAGGCGTGAGTCATTGTGCCTGGCCTCTTATGATTTTCTTAATAACATTTTTCTCTTCTCTAGTTTACTTTATTGTAAGAATACAGTGTCTAATGCCTATAATACAAAATATGTGCTAATTGACTGTGGATGTTATTGGTAAGGCTTCCAGTCAACTATTAATAGTAAAGTTTAAGCCGGGCTCGGTGGCTCAGCCTGTAATCCCGTGCCTTTGGGAGGCTGAGGGGAGTGGATTGCCTGAGCCCGCGGGTTCGAGACCCGCCTGGGCAGCAAGACCTCATCTCTACAATAAATCAAAAAATCAGCCGGGCGTGGTAGCGCGTGCCTGTAATTCCAGCTACTTGGAAGGCGGAGGCGGAAGGATCGCCGGAGCCCAGCAGGTCGAGGCTGCGGTGGCCGGGAGCGGCCACTGCACTCCAGTGTGGGCGACAGAGACTCCAACTCAAAAAAAAAAAACAAAATAGTAAAGTTTTGGGAAAGTCAAAGGTTATATATGGATTTTTGACTGGGGGTGGGTGTTGGTGCCCAGTCCTTTGTTCAAGGGTCAACTGTATTTTGTTTTATACTTTCATGAGCTTGGCAGACCTTTTAGGAGAAGAATTTGTTTATTTTACTCTTATAACCATGAAATAAAAAACCTGGAGAGAAAGTTGAATGTGGCACTTACCCGTCCAATTTGTGGAAACATACTGAAGGAAACTGGCACCATCAGGCCCATGACCAGGGTTGTGCAAGACAGTTTTAGAGTCCACAACAACCGCGGATGTTGCAGGAAGAACTGGGTCCTGTAAGAGACAAGGTACAGCTTGCACGAGTCACTCAACTACCAGGACCTGTTTTTATCGGCTGATCTTTGGCTGTCACGTGGCTAATCCTGTCCTGCCTACAGCTGCAGGCCCACACCTCAGCTTCCCCTCAGCTTACAAACAGGCAATGAAAGCAGTTGCCTGAGTCCATGTCGGGCCTGGTGTTCAACACCTTGCCTGCATTGGCTCGCTTGATTCCCCCATGGCCTTATGAGGCTATGTTTTCATGGGCCTCTTCACACAAATGAGAAAACAGAGGCACGAGCTGGCAAAGTCAAGTTACTTGTCCAGAATCCCATAGCTTCGAAAGCAACAAGTCAACTTCTAGAGCCAGTGCTCTCAACCTGGGCTACCCTGACATCATGTGGCACTCTGACACTGACCTTTGGAACATGTAAGAAACAAAGAACAGGGTTTGGTTGAGGCTCTACCACTGACAGATCTGTTCCCTGGGGTGAGCCACTTTCCCCTTCTAAGTCTTTGCATTTTGTCCAAGTTGGGTCACATGCCCGTAACTACACCAACCCACCCTCTCCTGCATGGCGAGTCAGCCCTCCTAGAGCCACATGTGAGCACATTTCTAAGAAGCAGGGGCAGCATCCTGTGCAGAGTCGATATTACTTCCTAAGGTTGATGCAGCTGGATGGGAGCAGACTTTTGCAAAATGCAAACGAGGGGGTTGAGCTAGAAGATCCTCTGACATCACTCTAGCTTCGAAACTACCATGGCTCGAGGATGGTACTTCTGTGAAGTCACTCACACGGTCCTTCCAGCTACCTCTATGCCTGCTGGGGAACAAGGACAATCCCTTCCCCTCAGGCAGCCTGTGACACCCATGTAGGCCTCATGGGATGAGGGCCCAGTGTTACCAGAAGCTTCAGCTTCCATGCTAGCCAGAGCAGCCCAGGAAGCCCCTTCCCAGAGTGAAAGTCTCTGTGCCCATTCAGCTGTATCAGCCTTGGGAAGTAACAGTCAGCTCTACCCAGAACGCTGTCTCCACTTCTTGGAAACGTGCTCACATGTGGTTCCAGCAGGGGCTTCCAAGACTCATCACACTGGAGAGGATGGGTTGGTGCCGCCAAGAACATGGGAACCGACTTGGGCCGATAGAACCCTTCCCTGGGAGTCTCTGAACTGAGGGGAAGACATTCCTGCCTCCCTGGGGGCTTGTGCTTTATTTCTGATCGGGAGGCCATGAGGATGTGAGCAGGGGGTTATCAGCAGTTGCGTCCCTCATCAACATGAAGAAGCCAAGCAGACAGGAGAGAAGAAAGCCAATGCCCACGAGGGAGAGGAAGAGGAATGCCAGTCATGGGGCTTCGGGTCAAGCTGCCCAGGCTCCACCCCTTGCTGGTACCTGGCACCTTAATCCCCACTTCTCTCTTTGGGCCTATGCTCTTGCTGCTTGGGTTTCTCATTCTGGAGATCGTGGGAGCCCAGGCCCTCCGTCTAACAGGCCATTTCTTGCTTCTCAAGAGATGACGGTCTACTGAATCTGGGGCTGCTTGAGCTAATTTAAAACAGCTCTGAATGTTGGGGGTGGGGGGAGGCTTGAATCATATTCACAGTACATCAGAGCAGGGAGAACCTGCAAAGCATCCAAACCCCATCATTCTAGAAGCGAGGAAATGTGCCTCGGCAGGTTCCTGGACATGCCAAGGACACAAGGCTAACTGAGGGCAAAGCCTGGGCTGGATTCCAGGTCTGTGGGAACACGCACATCTGGATTTCCACGCCTGCCCCAGACCGATCTTACTGTCTTAAGTGTGATGAAAGTGTTTATGGAAAGGTCACTGAGGCAACCTCTTCCCACCCCTCCCACTAGGGCCTGTATCTGACAAGTTTTACAAGGATTTTGACCGTCAAAATGTTTATTCCCACCCGAGGAGATGAGTGTGCCTCTTACCTTTTAAAAAAGTAGGCGAAGACTTCAGGAATAAGAGCTGAGGTCCCAAACAGCACTGCCCTGGACACTGCAGTTTCTCTAACAGCCTAGTGAAAATGAAGAGAAGGCAGCTCAGTGCATGGAATGAGATGATTTCCAGAGATCCTACAACTCCTGCCAGGGACAAGCAAACAGCAACTCTCCTTCCTCACTTAGAAAAACAGAGCCTGTGGGCCAGGCACAGTGGCTCATGTAATCCCAGCACTTTGGGAGGCTGAGGCAAGAGGATCACTTGAGGCCAAGAGTTTGAGACCAGTCTGGACACCATAGCGAGACCCCGTCACCAAAAACAAAAAAAGAACAAAACAAAAATTAGCTGGGCATGATGGCATGTACCAGTAGTCCCAGCTACTTGGAAGGTTGAGGCTGGAAGATTGCTTGAGTCCAGGAGGTTGATGCTGCAGTGAGTTATGACTGTACCACTGCACTCCAGCCTGAGCAACAGAGCATGACCCTGTCTCTAAAAAAACAAAACAAAACAAAAACAACAACAGAAAAAAAACAAAAAGAAAAAAGAGAGAGAAAAATAAAGTAAGGTTTCAGGACTGTAAAGCATAGTCATCTGAGCTCAGGAAGAGTGGCTGCTGAGGGGTATGGTTCTGCATCAGTGGGGCGAGGCCCACTGCCTCCTTTTGCCTCTTGTAGGGGAGACACTCCAAACAGGACACCGTCATCAGCAGGCTCTGTGTGCAGTGAGCAGCTTAAGAGGCCAGCCGGGGAAAACAACATCCACCAGTCGCCTGAAACCTGATCAAAGGTGCCCTATTACAATCAGATATTGCTGGTTACGCAGTTTCTGAAATTTTAGCCAAAGAAAATAAACCTTTAAGTGACAGGGAAATGATAAAAGAATGCTTATGCTTACGCACAGCTGCAGACACTTTATTCTTCAGAGAAAGATAAACTTAAAAAAAAAAAAAAGCAGACCAATAAACCTTTTCTTTTACCCTAAACTGACCCTCCTGCAAAAAATGAAGTTCCTCCTGGGGAGACAGATTCCAGGCAGCCAGCAGGGCCTGAGGCGATCTCCCTGCTGGGAGAGTGGTGCTCCTGGGGACAAGGGGATCTCACTGGTGAGGGTGTGGGTCTCCAGAGCCTAGCACAGAGACTGGAAGGCAGGAGGTGCTGGGACCAGCTTGCTGGTTAAATATTTGCTCTCCCTCTCTTCATGGCAATACTAACACCCTGACGTTCAGGTTGAGTTGAAGAGAAATGCACACACACAACCATACAAGAGGCACAAGGGAATGTTCTGAGCATTATTCACAATAGCCAAAAACTGGGCACAACCCAAATGTCCATCAGTTGGGAATGGTAAGAGGCGGCACATCCAGCAACAGAACAGTGCTCAGCAGTGAAAAGGAACAAACTACCAACATGTGGTACAAGATGGAGGGGACTCAAAAGTGAAAGAAGCCATACACAGAAAATGACTGTGGTTCATTTATATGAAATATCTAGAGAAGGCAAAACCAGGAAGCAGATCAGTGTTTCCCTGGGGCTGGGGGTGGGAACAGGGAGTGACTGTAAATGGGCATGAAGGAAATTTTCAAGGTAATGAAAACACTACAAGGCCTGGTGCAGCGGCTCACGCCTATAATCCCAGTATTTTGGGAGGCTGAGGTAAGAGGATTGCCTTGAGCCCAGGGATTCGAGAAGAGCCTGGACAACTTGGCGAGACCTCATCCCTACAATAAACCAAAAAATTAGCCAGGCGAGGTGGTGCATGCCTGCAGTCCCAGCTACTTGGAAGGCTGAGGTGAAGGATCACCTGAGTCTAGCAGGTCGAGGCTGCGGTGGCCGTGAGCGTGCCACTGCACTCCAGTCTGGGTGACAGAGTGAGACTCTGACTCAAAAAAAAAAAAAAAAAAGAAAAGAAAAGAAAACACTACAATTGGACTGTGGTGATGGTGGCACAACTGACTGACTTCTTTATTTTTGAGTTGGCGTCTCACTCTTGCCCAGGCTAGAGGGCAGTGGCATGCTCATGGCCACGGCAGCCTTGACCTGCTGGGCTCAGGCAATCCTGCCCCTCAGCCTTCCAAGTAGCTGGGACTACAGGCATGTGCCACCACACCCAGCTAATTTTTTTATTTACTGTAGAGATGAGGTCTTACCAAGTTTCCCAGGCTGGTCTTGAACCGTGGGTTCAGGTAATCCTCTCACCTCGGCCTGCCAAAGTGCTGGGATTATAGACATGAGCCACCGCACCCGGCCCACAAATGTTTTAAATGGACTAAAATCCACCAAACTATCATCTTAAAAAGGAGGAGTTTTTTAGTATGTAAATTATGTCTCAATAAAGCTGTTCAGAAAAATGTCTCTTTGGAGTGGCTTCTTAACCCAGAACCTTCATTTCAAACTCAAACATCCTTGCTACTTAGAATTACTGGGTCCCTACTCTACTTCATTTAGATAAGGAGCCATTCAGGCTGATGGCCTCATTAAACTGCTATAGCATCTGTCTGATGGTTTATAATTCAGCTTTGTCAATCACTGATAGGATTTAGGTAACTCAAAGCTCGGTGAGCCAAATGATGATTTACTAATTTCTGACTCTTCTCCCATTGCCATGATGGTCAGTGGAAGGATGTCTAGCCAGCTGGGGGAGCCCCGAGGCCAGCACTGTGAAAAGCCCAGTGAGTCCCTTCACTCTGTGTCAGGGATTCTCCACTCTGCCTTTATGCTGTTTGCAAACAATTGCAAACAATTCACCATTCCTCACCTAGAGTCATTTCACAGAGATCAAAAGAGGTCTCTCCCCGCTAAAAACATTATTTAAAAACTCCACACCCAAATTGAAACGACTATCATAGACTATAAGAGGTTCTTACCGTTGAATGCATACAGAGGCTACTGTGTTGGATTGAGCAAAAGAATACACTATTTAATAATAAAATTATTCCAAATTGAGGACTTTTTAAATAATTTTAGGACAGGAACGGTGGCTTATGCCTGTAATCACAGCCCTATGGGATGCCAAGGCAGGAGAATTGCTTGAGCCCAGAAGTTCTGGACCAGCTTAGGCAACATAGCAAGACCTCATCTCTACAAATAATAATAATTTAAAAAAAAAAAACCTAGCTGGCTGTGGTAGTATGCGCCTGTAGTCCCAGCTACTCAGGAGGCTGAGGCAGAAAGATCGCCTGAGCCTAGGAGGTTGCCTGAACCCAAGAGGTAGAGGCTGTGGTGAGATGTGATCATGCCACTGCACTACAGCCTGGGAGACAGAGTGAGACTCTGACTAAAAAAAAAAAAAAGGAAACAAGAATTTTAGATCAGAGCATTGTATTTCCTAGATCCATTCTTGACAAAAATTGGTCCTTAAGAAAATCTGCTGAGATGGCAGAGGGAGGACTTCTCTTAACCTCAGAAATGGGTGTCTGCTGACCTCTACGAATGCAGAGCAAGCTTGGAGGTGGGGGAGAAGCAGCCCCCAAGAGGGATGCCCAACAGGCACACAGTGGGAGGGCAGATATTAAACTTGAAGAACAAGATCTCACATGCAGAGGAGCTCAGCGCTTATTAGATTTCCGTCTATGGTGGTCAGCCCAGTGGGTCACATTGGTGGTATGACCCAGTTATTTAATCAGGCACTAATCTAGGTGGTGCTGTGGTGTATTCTGCAGATGTGATTCACATCTACAAGCAGTTGACTTTAAGTAAAGATTATCCTCCACAGTGTGGATGGGCCTCATGGAGTCAGCGGGGAAAGCCCTAAGAACAAACACAGGTTTCCCAAGGAAGAAATCCTGCAAGATCAGCATCAGCTTCTGCCTGAGTCTCTGGCCTGCTGCGCTGCCCTCAGATTCCAAACTTACCTGCTGCACGATCATGTGAGCCAATTCCTTAAAATCTATCTCTTTTTTTTGAGTCAGAGCCTTACTCTGTTGCCCAGGCTAGAGTGCAGTAGCACACTCACAGCCACCCCATCCTTAACCTGCTGAGCTCAGGCAATCCTTCCACCTAAGCCTCCCAAGAAGCTGGAACCACAGGCATGTGCCATCACACCCAGCTAATTTTTTGATTTATTGTAGAGATGAGGTCTTGCCAAGTTGCCCAGGCTGGTCTCGAACCTGTGGGCTCAGGCAATCCTCACACCTCTGCCTCCCAAAGTGCTGGGATTACAAGCATGAGCTACCCCATCTGGCTAAAATATATCTTTTAATAGATAGGTACATATATCTCATTAATTCTGCTTCTCTGAGAAACTCCCACTAATGCCCCGCTTCTCACACCCCAGGAGACAAGATGCAAAATCTCTCTTTCCACATGCTGAGGATAAGGAAAGGTTGATGGCAGACATGAGCTTGTCACTGGCTTTTGACAGCAAAGTAAATTCTTTTAGCAAAAGGCAAGCAGCTCCAGCTCAATTTTGCCTCTTTTTTTTTTTGGAGTCAGAGTATCACTCTGACACCCAGGCTGGAGTACAGTGGCACACTCACGGCCACGACAGTCACAACCTACTGGGCTCAGGCGATCCTTTCACCTCAACCTTCCAGGTAGCTGATTTTTTTTATTTACTGTAGAGATGAGGTGTCGCCAAGTTGCCATGGCTGGTCTCAAACCACCGGGCCCAGGCTATCCTCTCACCTCCCAAAGTGCTGGGACTACAGGTGTGAGCCACCACGCCCAGCCCCAATGTGCCTCTTACCTTTCTCCCAGCTCTTCTGGAATGGCCTATGACATTGCCTTCCTTGTCCATAACTTCAATCCCTCGAACAGGCTCAAAACTTCGGGATGCAAAGACATTCATTCCACTGATTTGGGCTGTGGATGTAAAAAAGAGAACACACGACAAAGGGGGTGAGTTCTGTTCCAGCAAAAGAACATGTTTTGGGGGATCTGCCACTTCAGGGCTCTTTTTCTGACAGCTGCCCTTTTCTGGACCTTCGGGTGAACACCTGCCACAGGCGGAGCCAGCCAAGTGGTCTCCTGGGGCCGTGGAGGTTGGATCAGAACTGCTACGCAGTCTTGAGTCCTGACTACAGTTCAGGCCCAGCTTATAGGACCTCTGAGGCCCAGCCCCCTCCCTGACAGGATTCCAGGAGAAACCCTGGGATCCTTGAGGTACACCCCTGGTCTTTGTTCAAGCTGGTCTGACCAGGTTTCTGTAACATAATGTCACCACTGACATCGGTCTGCCGACTCTTCAAACTGCTGTGATTCCTAAACCCAAATTTGCAGCATGACATAGTCAACTTGCAGACTGGCAAACTCAAAAATATTCAGCTAATATCTCTGTCATTTCCTCTGAAGGTCTGACTACCAGATTGGGATATATATTAACCACTTGCTCGCTGTGTAACTCTGGAAATTTACTTAACCTCCTTGTGCCTCAGTCTCCTCATCTGGGAATGGATATAATAATATTTCTTGCCCATAAGGTGTCAGGATTAAGCGAAATAATGCATGGAGAGGGTTTGTATGGCTAGTCCTTAAAATGTCATTTGTGAGCCGGGTGCAGTGGCTCATGCCTATAATCCCAGCACCTTGGGAGGCCAAGGGGAGAGGATCGCCTAAGCCCAGGGGTTCAAGACCAGCCTGGGTTACTCGGTGAGACCTCATCTCTACAATAAATAAAAAAATTAGCCAAGTCTGGTGGCAAGCACCTATAGTCGCAGCTACTTGGAAGGCTGAGGCAGAAGGATTGCCTGAGTCCAGCAGGTTGAGGTTATGGTAGCCATGAGTGTGACACTGCACTTCAGCCTAGGCAACAGAGTGAGACTCCTACTCAAAAATAATAAAAAATAATAAAAACAAGTCATTTGTGTCTCCAGGATTGTGCTCATCCTTTGGCAATAAATGGGGTATCTATAGAAAGTGTCACCTCTCAAACCAAAGACCTAATTTGGTCTTGATGGCCCAGGTCGGCTGTAAAGGGCACCTGTCATCAGTCACAATGTGGCCAAGGACCCAGGTGTCTCTGGAAATAGAGGAGGGCTCACAGACCACAAAGATGAGCCCCAGACTGTATGCTCCCAGCCCTTCCTGCTTACCGAGGAAGAAGATAGGTAAGGCTCTTTTGATCAAAGGGTTATCCAAGGAATACTTCATTTGGACCAAATAAGGGATTAACTAGAAAATAAGAGAAAAATCATTATTACATGGGTCTAAAAAGTGAGCTGAACATACTTAATAGCAGAGAGTGCACACTGACCTAGCTCCCATTACAGGTCAGTTGGTTGACAGAGATGGTTGCCAGTGCTCTCTACATCGTTTTGTTTTGTTTTGTTTTTTTAAATAGAGATGAGGTCTCAAACCCGTGGACTCAGGCAATCCTCTCACCTTGGCCTCCCAAAGTGCTAGGATTATAGGCATGAGCCACTGCACCTGGCCTCCATGTATTTTTTTTTTTTAGTTGGAGTCTCACTCTGTTGCCCAGACTGGAGTGCAGTGGCACACTCCTGGCCACCGCAGCCTCGGCCTGCTGGGCTCAGGCGATCCTCCAGCCTCAGCCTTCTAAGTAGCCGGAACTATAGGCATGCACTACCACGCCTGGCTAATTTTTTTTTTTTTGAGTCAGAGGCTCACTCTGTCACCCAGACTAGAGTGCAGTGGCCGCTCCCGGCCACTGCAGCCTCGACCTGCTGGGCTCCAGTGATCCTTCCGCCTCAGCCTTCCAAGTAGCTGGAACTACAGGCACGCGCTAACATGCCCGGCTAATTTTTTATTTATTACAGAGATGAGGTCTCGCCAAGTTGCCCAGGCAGGTCTCGAACCCGCGGGCTCAGGCAATCCACTCACCTCAGCCTCCCAAAGCGCTGGGATTACAGGCTGAGGCATCGAGCCCAGCTCCTTTATGTTTCTTAACTTGAGAATGTCAAAGAAAGTCTCCTCCCTTCCCAGACCTAGATTCTAATAGCAGCTATTTTCTCTTTCAACAGAATCTCTTTAAAATGGACATAGAAGACTGCAATGGCCGCTCCTATATGTCTGGTATGCCTTCTGTGTGTTCCATCTGAAAGGGTCTGGGAGCAGACACCCATCTGTAGAGCAGGGCAGGGAGCCTTGAGCCTGGCACATGACCGCTAAATGTCCTAGTCACAGAGCTAACACTCACACTTGATAGCAATTGGTAGTGTGCAGTTATTTTGGTAATTTTATATTCCTTAAATAGTGATTCTCTTTTCTAGATTTCTTAGGGGGTGGGGAAGGGGAAGGGAAGAGGAGG